CCTGATTCACATTCACAGGCTGATTTCGCACTAGAGCTGCCTCGATGTTGCGCCACCGTTTGCCCCGATACTATTGGTCAATTTCACACCCAAAGCGGTGGGACTGCATTTGACCCGCGGCTTCGCCCAATTTCCTCCGCATTTTCGTGATCCTCAAAAAACAGGGCGAAATCAGCCCTAGTCTCTGGAGAACAACAGTTGAGTCCAGTGGAACCTTTAAGACTAACAAAGTTTTATTCAAGATATGAGCTTTTGTGTGCATGCACACTTATTCAGATACGTTGAAATTAAAGCTACCAGTCCATACATATAACTAGAGGGTGAGCAGCAAATTAGTATACAGCATAATGAGATGTTTTTAACAGATGCAAGGAGCAAACAGGAATAACAAGCTAATTTAATTTCTGGAAATAATTGCAGGGGTGCTGATAGTATGACTAGAGCATGCAGCCAGTCTGTTTTCCATGTAGCCAGTACTTCCATGTGGGATGTTTCTAAGGTGCCATGTTTGTTCAGTATTGATTTCAGTGATGCAAAAGTTCCTGCACTTATATATTCCTGTACAGAACCACAATCTGTTAGACCGTCTGTGGTTTGTACAACTAAGCATGCAAAGTGGACTCTGACAGATATATCTGGTACAACAAGAAGAGAAGACAAGAAGAGATTGGAATTATACCCCACCCTTCACTCAGAGTCTCAGGGCAGTTTACAAACTCCTTTCCCTTCCCCCTCCCCACAACAGACACCCTGTGAGGTAGGCGGGGCTGAGAGAGCTCTTTCCAGAACTGTCCTTGGGAGAACAGCTCTGACAGAACTATGGCTCACCCAAGATCATCCAGCAGCTGCAAGTGAAGGAGTGGGGAATCAAACCTGGTTCTCCCAGATTAGAGGCCGCACACTTAACCACTACCAGTCTGTCGCTCTTGACAAATAGGGACTTCTACACTTTGTGAAGGTTGTGTTGAATGTTCATCAGTACAATTTGGTATCTGACTCAGGGTTCTCCTTTATGTTGATTAGTTAAGAAGAAAGGCACATCTGGATTAAAGCTGAGTAACTTGATGAACCTTGGGAGAAAGAAATCGTCATCACTGGAAGGTCCAGAAAGGTCTCTGGATACTTGTAGTAAGTAACCTGGAAAAAATCTTTATGAAACTGTTCGTAGTAATCCCTGCAAACAGCACACGAGACTGGCTGAGACGATGATCTACGAGGCAGCCCATCATGACGTGATGTCCAGAGTGGTGAGAAGAAGATGGTTCTGCTTGCATTACCCTTAACACAAGATATTGGGGCCCCCAGCTGTCAGTGGGAACGGCTCCATTAGAGACAATGAGAAGCTCTGACAAGATCCAGCATTTTGAATTATAAACTGCTTTATTTCTCGTGCAGAATCTGTTTAGGAGTCAAATTTTATCCAGATAGGCATAATTTATTTTTATTTATTTATTTATTTATTGGGATTTTTACCCCGCCCTAAGCGAGCTCAGGGCGGCTTACAAGGGGCTTTTTACGTCTTAAATGGCTATGTACAATGCTGCTTAAGTTACAGTATGGCTTGCTTAAGCAGTCTGTCAGATATTATAGCACTTTCCAGTGTACAAAGTGCTTTCCATCCATCCCCTTGTAATCCTTCCTACAGACCTGTAGGGTGGGCCAGAATTATTGCCCGTATAAAGCAAATGGTATTCTAAGGCTGGGAGGGAGTTGTTTGCAGTAGACCTTGCCTGACGAGTTTGCAACAGAAGTGAGATTTGAACTGGGGATCTCTCTCTTGTCATAGCCTGTATGCAACATGACCTACTATGTGCTAGTAGAAAAGAGCAAGGGTCCAGTAGCACCTTAAAGACTAACCAAATTTATGGCAGGGTATGAGCTTTTGTGAGTCTGAAGTGAGGAGTGACGAAATCTCATACCCTGCCACAAATTTGGTTAGTCTTTAAGGTGCTACTGGACTCTTGCTCTTTTCTGCTGCTACAAACTAACACGGCTACCTATCTTGATCTGTCTATCTGCCGTGTGCTAGAAAGGCTTGTGATCATGGACCTGTCTTAGCATTAGCAACAGCTAGTGTAGGTCAGCTGCCCCTGTGGCTCAAAGAGAAGTGCCGTTTCAGTGCTCAGGTTCCACAAGGAAGGAAGATGTTATCTAAGTGAGCACATAATTCTTTGCAGCATACCTGAATGTACTTGTGAACAGCCAGTGGCGATCTCGGTGGTGTCACATTAAAGATGGGCAGCTGCATTTCTACCAGGACAAGAACAGAAGCAAAACTGCTCAACAGCCTCTGAACCTGATAGGCTGCGACATTGTCCCAGAGCCAAGCCTGGACCATCTCTACTCTTTCCGTATCCTGCATAATGGGGAAGAACTGGCCACGTTAGAGGTTTGGCTTATCACTCTATTAAATAGCAGCATTATGTTTGGTTGTTAGCAACAGCATTCCGCAGTGTGCCACACACGACTGGAAGGGTCAGTCCCGATGAGTAGCGTCTGGAAGCTGTCTGGGTGGCTTTAGACTCCCTTGGGTGTGTCATCCCTTCAAAGTCAATCATCCTACCACACTCCTCAGTGTTCAGGTGTGCTAGAAAATGATAACTACCATCTTAGTAGTTAGGTTAGGTGCTCAGCTTGGTCAGAAATGATAAGTTCTAATCAGGGTTTTGTAAAATGAAACTTTACTCTCCAATCAGGATCTTGGACACTGAAATGTTTCCTAAAATAAGCAGGCATCGGGATTAAGCATGGCCAGTACAGTGTCCCATAATCTGAAAGGTGGTACACAGATCAGTGTAACTTTGGTTTACAGCAGTTGAAAAGCTGACCCTATGCGACCAAGTCATTCATGCCTATTACTTTCCCTTGCCTTGCCTTGCCTTGGGGTTGTTTACTTTCTCTATCTCTTATCTTGGGTCCTCTGAGTAGGAAGAGGAAAATGTGGCAAATTTCCTGCATTTTGTGGTGGGAGGAATTTATGCAGCCTACAGCGGTCACGCCTGCCATTCTGAAGGTTGTTTTGTTTAGCAAATTGCTGAGGTTTGATGGAACCAGAAGAGCTTCTTCAAAAAGCACAGTTTCCATTCACAAAATAGTATCACTCTTCAGCTTTTGCATTTTAGATCAGTCCAGCCAGATGTCATTAATAATTTTTCTTGCATCTTACGGGACACTTCCCTCAACTTCCATTATGACTTGCTTTAATCACAATTACTTTTCTGCATAATAGAATAGGAAGTTAAACTGGTGCCATCTACTGGCGAACAGATGAAACCTCAAGCCTTTAATTGAAATGCGGGGTAACTGAAAGTCAAGGCAGTGTACAGCTACTAGTATACCTTTTCCGGCAGCCAAACTGCCACCTGCTGCTACAGAATAAATTCAACCTTTAGTACAGACATTTTGGCCGAGAGTGAATTGTTTAAAAGCCTCTTTAAAAGAATAAATTATTTTTAAATGTTTTGTCACATGGGATCTTACACGCTTCTTATATTTGATTTCCTTTGTGTGTGGTGTTCTTACCCTGGAGCTTGTTTTCTAGATCTGGGGACTCATGGAAATTTGGCCTGTGAGTATAACAATGGGTTTCCTCTTTGTTTGCTTCATAGGCCAAGTCTTGTGAAGAAATGGGCCACTGGCTAGGCCTCCTTTTATCAGAATCTGGCTCGAAAACAGATCCTGAAGAACTGACCTACGACTATGTTGACGCTGACAGAGTATCCTGCATTGTCAGTGCTGCAAAGAATTCTTTCCTGTAAGTTGTAGTGGTGACCAGGTGGACTTGGATTCTGATGACCCCGTAAATGAGAGGAAACAAGATGAATGGCAGGATTATATAAAGGTAAAGGTTCCCTTGCTCGAAAGCCAGTCGAATCCGACTCTAGGGTTGCGGTGCTCATCTCCGTTTCAAAGCCGAAGAGCCAGCGCTGTCCGAAGACGTTTCCGTGGTCATGTGGCCGGCATGACTAAACACCGAGGCGCACGGAACGCTGTTACCTTCCCACCGAAGTGGTACCTATTTATCTACTTGCAATTTCTTGCTTTCGAACTGCTAGGTTGGCAGGAGCTGGAACTAGAGACAGGAGCTCACCCTGTCTTGCGGCAGCCGGGTCTTGAACCGCTGAACTACTGACGTTCCACAGCCTGCAGTTCAGCGTCTTAACCACTTGAGCCACTGCAGCTCCTTATTATAATGGATTATAATGGCTAGCAAAAAGCAGCAGCAGGATAGGTCTGATATGTAAATAGTAGCTCTCCCCACATGAGGAGCATGCAAATGAAAATGCAGTGCAAGAAACTTCAGTGATTAAAATCAGCATGACGTTGAACCTCTTGCATTACTTTTTGATGTAGGAATTGGGTCCAGCTAATGTATGTGTAAGTTCTTTTGACCATTTTAGCCTGGAGAAGAGCACTGTAAAAAAATATGAAGGCTTGCTTTATGTTTTTCAATTTCTTGACCAATACAATATCATTTACGGTGGAGCATACGTTTCAACACCACTTGCTCCAAACTCTCCCCAGCATACAAGTGATGTGATCATTACATATTATGCAAAGGTATATCAGGGTTTTTTTTTTAATTGTAGCGCTTATGCTCCCTAAAGGTTGATCATAATTTTAGAAGCCAACACACATGATCAACTTTAAAGAATAAACCATAAAATTTAAAAAGAATGCTAAATTCCAAGAGATTAGAATGAAAGCTGTCCATCACAATTCTGGTGCTGGTGACACCTACTCTCTCATTGGCCACTGGGGAAGCTGCCTTGGTGTCCTATTGGCCCGTCCCAACAGCTCCTCCATTCTTACAACCCCACTTTTGATGTGTTGTACCTCGAGAGTTGTAGTTCTCAGTTGGCCTTACTTGCAACCATAGCAAAGGGAATTAAAACTACAACTCCCAAGTTGGGAGTCCCAAAAGGCTGTGGGGCATTAGCAGGGAGTCAGTCAAACTGATAATCACTTAAAGTGTTAAACAGGAAGCAGCTTTGGAATTGAAAGGGGTTGGGGGGAAAGGGAAGGCCTGGACATCTCTCTGAATTACAATTGATCTCCAGACTCCAGAGATCAGTCCCCATGGAGATTATACCTTCAACAAACATGGCCCTCCCCTTAGTATTACCAACCTCCAGGCAGCACCTGGAGATCTCCGTTCTCCTGGAGAAAATGGCTGCTTTGGGCAGTGGACTCTATGGCAGTATACCCCGCTGAGGTCCCTCCCCACCCCAAACCCTGCCTTTCCCAGGTTCTACCCCTCAAATCTGTAACTGGCTACAGAACTACTTTCCAGACACTTGAAACTCAGAAAACAAGGCATAGGAGGCGGCGCTTTTTGATCTTAGCTGCCACTGCAGCCACAAAATCAACATTAGTCAGGGGTGGAAGGAACCATACCTGTTACCATGTGACTCTCCTCTCATACTACCCAATTGGGGTAGCAAAATACTAAATACTAAAATGAGCTGGCTCTGTGATCTTATGTGTTTGGATTGTATGTAGGGAGTGTCACAGAATTCTGAATATTAGACCAGGGTGTTTCTAGGAATGACTTAATCTTTTTTCAGGTGCCTTCAGCTACCAGTGCTTCCGGGTGATGTGCGTGTGTCACGCTCCAGACGCAGGACGGGAGTCCCCCTCTGGGGCTTAAAAATGACTTGGCAACCCTAGAATGACTTGATCTTTTTTCAGGTGCCTTCAGCTACCAGTCACAAAATGGTTGCTTGTACAAGAATGACAGTGTTTTAGAGCAGGACTGCTGTACTCAAGTGAGGAAACCTTCCCTCTGCTCTTTTCCAGAACCAAACAACTGGCCCCAAATCGTTACTTGCCCTACCAGAGAAAAATACACAGTTAACTGGATGGGTTTTTTTTTTTCTTGGAAGAGGCAAACAGTAGTTTCAGAGCAGGACTGCTGTACTCAAGTGAGGAAACCTTCCCTCTGCTCTTTTCCACGACCAAACAACTGGCCCCAAATCGTAACTTGCCCTACCAGAGAAAAATACACAGTGAACTGGATGGGTTTGTTTTTTTTCTTGGAAGAGGCAAACAGTAGCTTTGATGCAGGGGGGAAAGTCAATAGCACCGTTCCTTTGCCATGCAGAGCAAGGCTTGCAGGGAGGAAGAGAGGTGGACAGGAAAGGGTGCTGATGCTGTTGTTTTCCCATCCAGAGCAAAGGTGTGTTGTGCCTCCTCCTTCACACGAAAGAGGAGGAGGAGGAGGAGGAGAGAAGCTGCTGTGGTAGCTTTAAAGGAAAGGATAAGAAAGTGATTACAGCAGCCATGGAAGAGGGGGAATGAGCTACTTTTCATTGCTTGGAGAGTGACTGGTCACTACTGAGTGACCATCTGTCCACCCTGCCTTATACTTTCCAGTGGCAAAGAGTGCATGCATGCTCTTACAGGTGTGTGGCCTCAAACTATGCTATCATCTCATTCATCATCTAGCACCCATTGAAGGCACATCTGCTCTCATTCTTTCCAGTTTAATGCAGAGGAAGTATTCCGAGCCCAACACCTATATTGATAACCTGCCAAAGGGAAAAGAGGATCAAGAGGAGCTCTATGACGATGTGGACATTCCAGAGGCACCCGTGGTATGTAGTTGCAATGAAGGGTATTCTATTTTCTAGGGATTGCAAGGTACAGAGAACGTTTCAGATAATAAATTATCCTAGCGCTGCTGATAATATAGATCTGATCAGCCTCCTGAGATTTTAGCACAAAGTGGTTGGGGGATGCAGAGGTGCAGTGGCTCGGGAATTCCACACTACTCCTTAATTTTTGAGCCCAGTGTTGGATGGCTTCCTTCCTTGTGCTGAGTTAAGAAAAGGTGTCTGAGCAACTGGTTTGGAGCAAACTATGGTAAAAAGCACTCTCACTGTAAATACTGAATGCCACTGGTGCAGTTTGCCTATAGTCTGGGCTAGATTAGACTTTAAAAATAGAAAATAGTTGCAAACATAGTTGGATAGAATCTGTGATCTTTTTCACACTTACTAAGAAGTGAGTCTCCCTGAATTCAGGCAGTGGTGGTCTTAGCCAGTGGGCAACAGGGGCAGCTGCCTCAGGCCCATGCTGGGGTCATTCTCAATTGCCCATTCCCTCCTCACATACACAGGAGGGGGGACAAAGAGCATGCTCCTGCCACCCCTTGCAACTGCCCCATCTTGGACTTGGCAGCTGGCTTCTGGTGGCAGCAGTAGCACCTGCCCACCTTGCAAACAGTGAGGACCACCACTACCTTGGTTCCAGTGGGGGTGTGTGTGTCAGGGGTTGGCAGTGATTCTGGGGCTCTATCCTGTACTTTTGCCCAGGGCTTCAGGATCACTAAGACTGCCCCTGAATTCAGGAGGGCTTGCTTATGTGTAGATGTGTGAAAATTCAGATAAGAAGCATTAGAGTGGCCTGATGTTTTATTATTCATCTTCTAGTTATGGACACTGGTAAAAATAATGGCTTTTCAGCAGAATAATGGCCCATTATAGGGATTCGGTCAAGGACCAAAGTACTTTGCTGCTTTCTACAACACTATCATCCCCGTGGACAAAACGACAACACAGATCGTATTGCAACAAAGAAGAAGATGCAAAGTAATAGGGGAAGATGGATCCTTATGCAAAAGGCTTGCTTAGTAAGAGGTTGAGAAAGCCCTACTATCTGTGGGCAGGCAAGCCAGCTGGGAGGAGTTCATGAAGACCCTTAAGATTAACATGGACTTTGGGTTGGCAAGAGCCAGTTTTCCAGAAGAGAGTTAACCCTTTATTTTAAAAAGTGCCAGAAAGTTGTTTTGTATCTTTAGTATAGGCAAGAATGAAAGAATTTCAGTCTGTAGTAGAAGCCATCAATTCATCACTAAGTGCCTTTTAATAATAGTAATACTCATTCCTAATACAGCAGTGCTTTGTTTTCACCAGCATGACTGTCAGATGAGGGCTTCTCTCCTTCCTGGATGAGCAGTTGCTTATAATAGGATGCATTTAATCTTGCACAGGAGGAAATACCCTCAAACGAAGGCAAAGGGGAAGGGGAACAAGACAGAGTCTACCTAGACCTCACTCCTGTCAAATCCTTCCTCCATTGTGCTGGCAAGAAGCATGCTCAGATGTCCCCTTCAGCTTCCCCTTCTTTACAAAGAGCTGCTGTTAATAACTCAACAGACTCCACCAAAGACTCATCCACGATGCATAAAGAAACAGATGTGAGCAGAAGGTCAATGGAAATCCCAGACCAGGTACTGCACAGAAGGATACAGACTACCTTTGATCCATTTCCTGGATTGCTTAACTAAGCATTCTTTTCTCTTCCTTTCCCACCTAATAGAGACATCAAGACATAGATGAGCTGCTGCCCCTACGGACATCCACGGTGAAAATCCAAACACAGCAGCAGCAAATTGCATTTCCTCAGAGTGGCCCTGAGATCAGGGACACCACAACAATTGTGACTGTCCCCAAAGAGAAAATGGACCGGTCCAAGGTCATTAATACAGGTGGGTCTGATGACTGCAAGGAGATGTATTTATCCAAGAGCTGTACGAGGATGGCATTTATGGTATGGACTGTGTCTGTTGTCACTTCATTCACAACCCATCTTAGAACACAACGGCAGTGTATTTTGGCCACCATGCTGTGGAAAGAGGCCCCCATGCTTGAAGGCCATCCTTCAGCGTAGAGCACAAGCAGAAGCCCCAGGTTTAGTTCCTAGCATTTCCAGTTGAAGGATCTCAGGTAGCAGGTGTTGGGAAATATCTTTCTCTGTCTGAGACTGTCTGGCCAGTACCTGCCAGCCAGAGTAGATGATACTGAGCCAGATGGGCTAGTAGTCTGACTCAGTAGGAAGCAGCTTTCTGTGCTGAAGGTTCCTGCAAACCTGGTGTATGCCTTGGTGACCTGTCACATTCTGCTTTTGCCATTCTATTTGTAGCACCTGTAGAAACCAAACTAGGCAAGAACAGGACAGAGGCCGAGGTGAAGCGGTACTCAGAAGAGAAAGAACGCCTGGAGAAGGAGAAAGAGGAAATCCGCTCTCAGCTGGCACAGCTTCGGAAAGAGAAAAGGGAGCTGAAAGAGATGCTGATAAGCTGCACAGGTAAGCTGCACATTGCCCCTCATTTCTGTTCAGCGTGTTGCCCGTAAGAGCCAATGGAGGAAGGATGTTCTTGAACATGATGTGCCCATACTAGGTGAGAGGCGACACAGATGCCGAAGGCAGGCACCAGTGCAGTGCTTTCGTACTATTAAAGGTAAAAGGTAAAGGTTTCCCTTGCTCGAAAGCCAGTCAAATTCAACTCTAGGGGGCAGTGCTCATCTCTGTTTCCAAGCCGAAGAGCCAGCGCTGTCCAAAGACGTTTCCATGCTCATGTGGCCGGCATGATTAAACACCAAAGTGCACAGAACGCTGTTATCTTCCCACCAAAGTGGTACCTATTTATCTACTTGCAATTTCTTGCTTTCAAACTGCTAGGTTGGCAGGAGCTGGGGCCAAAGACAGGAACTCACTCCATCATGCGGCACACTCAGGTCTTGAACTGCCAAGCTACAGTTCAGCGTCCGTCCCTCAAATGGAAAAAGAGTGAATCATGTCCTACTACAGGCCTGCAAAACAAAGCATTTTGTTTTGGTTTTGCCTGCTCATTTCATAGATTAGTTCTGGAAACCCCTCTTGTTTTGTTACCTCCTTCTCATTATGGGGAAAGGGAAGGCTAAGAAATTCACAGTACAGTAATACAAGCCTTGCCTTGCCCGATTAGAGGAAAATCTCTATCTAGGCAGCATTCTTTTTTCAAAAGAGGCCAGCCAGATGTCCCTTGGGAACTGACAAGCAAGCCATGCAGATGAGGGCCTGACCGTTTGTACTCAGGACCTGGCATTTAGAGGCATACGGCTTCTGTTCATGGAAAATCCATCTTTCAATACGGCTGTCCTCCATGAATTTGTCTTAATTCTTTCAAAATCCACCAACGCAAATGATGATAACCAGAGAAACACTGCTTGTAGTAATCCGTTTCTTAAATTACATATTGTACAAGGTGCTTCCATTCTCATTTCTGAAGCAACTTTTTGAGAGAGGGGAAAATCTTTAAAGAGGATAGTAACTGAGGTGGTATAAGCAGAACAACTGGACTGAGAACAGCTGCTTAGAAGAATGCAATCTAATGGAGAAAAAGATAACTGTTAGTGGATCCCTCACTCTTTTTCGTGTCCCAGGGGATGGCAGGTCTACTCCCTCCGTTACCCATGAGACAAGAAAGGAGAGGGGAGTGGGAGCTAATCCCTGATTGTGCCAGGACCAGTGTTCCCTCTAAGCTGAGTTAGTGTGAGGTGGCTCACGGTTTTTTAGCCTCCTGCTCACAAATATTTGTCTTAGCTCAGGAAAGACGGCTCCAGAGCAAACTAATTGATGCAGTAGCCAAATCACTTGCTCACAACTTTAATGCCGGTAGCTCACAAAGTGGAATTTTTGCTCACAAGACTCCACAGCTTAGAGGGAACATTGGCCAGGACCCCACTAAGAGCACAGCTTAATTGCTGTCCCTGTCCTGTCACACACACACACACACACCCAAATACAGGAGATGGGGGGGGGGGAGCAGAGGATACCTAGGGCCTGTCACTGAAAAGGCTTCAGCACCCATTTGTGCTTCCCTTGGCAGATAAGAGCCTTTTGTCTACAAAGGAGCAAAAACTGAAGGAAATAGAGGAGGAGTGCAAAAAGAAGGAAGATCAGCGTGTGGACTTAGAGCTGAGCCTTGTTGAAGTGAAGGAGAACCTCAGGAAAGCAGAATCTGGTCCTGTTACGCTCGGCACAGCCGTGGATACGACACATCTGGAAAATGCAAGCCCCAAAGTAGGTGGCAGGTTTTGTCAAGCAGCAGTGTGGGGCCCTTAGCAGCAAAGGGAACTGGGACTGACAGTTGTAATTTTTCCCTGCAGCTGCTTACACAAACTTCTCTCAAAAGACTGTTCAGTCTTTGGATCTTAGCCATTCTTTGTAAAGATAAGCAGCTCGTTCTTAGATTTCATCACAGCAGCACTGCAAATTTGTGAAGCTGCTTGTAGGGCTTCTCCATGGGGGGCGGCTACTTTAACACATTAATGATCAGACCCCAGCGTTTTCCAGCTGTATTTAGACTTAGTGTTTTACTCATCTCTGTTACTCAGCGGTGAAACTTCCGAACACAACATTTACCAGTATATGCGCGTGGTTATTGTATCAAGAGATTTTTTTGTTCCAATGGAGGCCAATCAGATGATTCAAGAAAGCATCTCATCAGGGGGAAAGTCAATAGAAGAAGAGTTGGTTTTATACCTTGCTTTTCTCTACCCGAAGGAGTCTCAAAGCAGCTTGCAATCGCCTTCCCTTCCTCTTCCCACAATAGACACCCTGTGAGGTAGGTGTGGCTGAGAAGAGTTCTGAGAGAGCTGTGACTGGCCCAAGGTCGCCCAGCAGGCTTCATGTGGAGGAGTGGGGAAGCAAACCTGGATCTCCAGATTAGAGTCCGCCAGTCTTAACCACTACTAGGGATGATGGGCACAAACTGGGAAAATGGAGGTCTGTCCCGGTTCGTGGTTCATGAGACCCCACAAACCTTCATGAACCTTCCCATTTACTGAACTGGTTCATTTTGTGAGGTTTGTGATGCGGTAGAACAGCCCCCATGCGGGTTAGAGATGCCAAACTCTGTCGTGGTTCGTGGTTCATGAGACCCCACAAACCTTCATGAACCTTCCCATTTACTGAACTGGTTCATTTTGTGAGGTTTGTGATGCGGTAGAACAGCCCCCATGCGGGTTAGAGATGCCAAACTTGCACTGAGTCTCCAGCGGTTAGAGATGCCAAACTCACACTGAGTCTCCAGCTGACTTCCAAACCTCCCGAGGTCCCCCTTTTTGGCCTGGCCTCATCTGCTGGCCACCCTCTGACTGCCCCATGGGTTGGTTTCCCAGAACTCCTGCCGCTTTCATCAAAGGGACATTGTGCCCCTTTTCCTTCTGACCCTGCAATCCTTGACTTCTGGGCCTCCTTTTTGGCCTGGCCACATCTGCTGGCCTCCCTCTGACTGCCCCATGGGCCAGTTTCCTGGAACTTTCGCCACTTCTATCAAAGGGGGATGGGCCCCCCCCTTTCCTTCTGACCCTGTGATCCTCAACTTCTGAGCCTCCTGGGGTCCCCTTTTTGGCCTGGCCTCACCTGCTGGCTTCACTCTGACTGCCCCATGGGCCGGTTTCCCAGAACTCCTGCCACTTCTATCAAAAGGAGATCCCCCCTTCTTTTTCCTTTTAACCCTGCAATCCTCAACTTCCGGGCCTCCTGAGGCCCCCCTTTTTGACCTGGCCTCCCTCTGACTGACCCATGGGCTGGTTTCCCAAAGTTCCTGCAGCTTCTGCAAAAAGGAGATTGCCTTCCCCTTTCTCCCTCAAGCCTCGGATCTCTGCCTCCTCTCTCCCCTGTGCCACCGTGCACCCCTCCTCTGCCTCTCCTTCATCCCCTTCCACCCCTGACCTAGGCTCTTCCATGCTTTCCTCCGCACCCCAGGTCCCACAAAGGCCTCTTTTGTTTGGTGTTTGGAGGGCCACTATTAGTGTTTCCAGGGCTATAGAAGTCCATCCCCCCCTGTTGCTTTGCTGATTAATTGATCAGCGCCAGCATGTCTGCCGCATGAACTGCACGAACCTCTGTAAAAACTGTGGAGATTCGTGAGAGGTTTGTTGCAGGCACGATTGCATGACCCTCAGCTCACAAACTGGGCAATGTTTGTGATGAAATTAGGTTTGTGACGAAATGCATGCCCATCCTTAACCACTACACCATGCTGCCTCTTTACTGTTTGTCCTGATTTTCTGGTACTTAAAGTTATACTTCTAAACATAAGGGTTCCATTTAGTCATCATGGCTAATAGGCATTGATTTGCTGATCCTCCTTGAATTTATTTAATCCCTTTTTAAAGTTGTATAAGCCGATTAGCTATCACAACATGCACTGGCTTTCACAAATCAAATAGGACCACACAAAGAGAGAGAGACCAAGTGCACTCATCATTTCGATTGGGCACAGCAATTTATCAACAATAAGAGGTCTGTAACTCTGTGCACAAAATGCCCTCTGATATGTGGCTGAGGAAATGTATGGCTGTTGTATAACCACAGCCATTTCCTTTTGTCCTGTAAATGCAGGTGAAAGTTGCCAACCCTGTGAATGGCACAGAAAACTCACCAGTGAATTCAGCAATGGCATTGAAAAACCGGCCGTTATCGGTTATGGTCACAGGGAAAGGAACAGTTCTACAGAAAGCAAAGGTAAGGCCCACAGTGAGATGGCCCACTGTGTTTTACCATGACATAAAATACTCACTATCCGGGTGTTTTAAATGAGCAGGTCCCAGCAGCCTTGGTTAATTATGCTGCTCTGAAATAGCCGTACATGTATCAGTGTGGCAATACTAATACATAGCATAGCAGTTGGGGCTGGGGACAGATCACATATGCACCATCCAGCTTAGCCACCTGGGAGAGATCTATGTTGGAAGGTAAGCTATCTGCTTGGGAGATGCCATGAAGCCATTATTACTTACATTCCTCATTTTGTTCTTCCTTTTGGCTCATGGGAAATACTGCTGCAGTGAGCCAGTTACACAGCAGTTGCATCTACCTTTACCAGCAATAGCATTCCATCAGCTGCCTAAACCATTTTTCAGACTATCCGGCACTCAAGTCTGATTCTTTTTGCTATTTTATTCTGTTCCATCTCCTATCCAAGATCATGGTATCTCTGATTGTTTTGAGGGAGGTCTAAAATACAAAAGTAAGTAGTTTTGGTTGGGTATCACTTCCAGAAAAAGGGGGCTGCAGGTACACAAAAGATCCAATATCTTAAGTACATGACAATAGGAAGGTGCTGCCTGCTGGTTTGGGTCCCTTATGTGCCAGACCAGAGGGGGTAGCTTTGTGATACAGAACATTGGTGGGCTACTAGATATTTAACTAAAGAAAAGCTCTTTTGCTTGTCTGAGTCTCAAATGCTTTGGAGTCCAAATGGATGGTCATGTCTGTTACAGCAAGACCACATAGGACCTCTGTGGCTCGTTTTAAAGACCAACACACTCCTATTGTGGCACTGACTTTCTTGGACTAGAGCCCATTTCATGAGATGCGAGAGGATATGCTAAGTGTTTGGAGCAATACAATTTAAATCGAATTGAGATTTAGAGATTTTTGGAATATACAAGTAGTAACGAATATACTTAAACTATTATGTTCACATCCAATAACTATTAATTCTATGAGCAGCATTTTAAAAAAAAAATGGAAGGCTTTTTGTGTTTTTGATTAGTGGCTATTATTTGTGTAAGTGACAAACCATAATTCTTTCTCTGGACATTTTTTTTCTTTTTATATAGTTTGTTTTGACTGTGTGGGGTGTTTGTTTTTTAATTTACATGCAAGCCCCTTTATTCCCATGGAAAGGCATCTAACACTCGTTTAAGATAAATATTATATTTCTTTTGAAATCCCAAAGACAAGCTTTTGTGTTTTCTTTTGCAGGAATGGGAGAGAAAAGGTGCTAGTTAGGAAACCACAGCATCCAGGATGGACTTAAGACTATAAATGGCCCTGCATAGACCAAAGGACTCTTATCGCCAGTAGGCAAAAAGGTCCAGATGAGATAAAGCACAGCTGGCAGCTTACCGTGTCATCTGTCAAGAAGAAACGATGGGCCTGGGACCTATATCCACACGGTCTTCTTCAGAATAAGGATTCTTCTCCTTTTAGCAGAGTTGTGCTGTATAGCTAAGAGAGTTAACACAAATGAAAACATTGCTTCTAACCCCATTGATGTCGTAAAAATGTTGCTGTACATAAGGATGCTTTTGTGTATTCCTGTGTTGGTGTTTTATCATTGTACAATCCAAGATATGTCATTAATAACAGAACATGGAGTTATCACTTCAAAGAGGATCTGTTGTACATTCTTTTTGTTTTGTTACAGCAGGGCCGTAGCATAGGCAAGGATGGAAAACACAACTGAGAAGCTAACTACCAGTTCATATATCTGTGTTCTCCTTTGGCTGAGCTTTGCTAAGCAATGAAGAAAATCTGAGAGACACTCATGGGAAACACAATAGCACAGCTAAGAATTAGAAGCTGTGTACAGGATTTCTCATTTTAAAAAATCTGGAATCCAAAGCATACAGCGATGTAAGTTTCAAAGTGTAGTGCTGGTACACAGAAGGAAACCTCTCTCCTGGGCCCTTGGAGCTTGTAGCAGTGCATCCTGATCTGGTGAGCTCCAAGGGACTCCATATGCACACAAAGAACTCCTGCACCTCAGGGGCAGGACTGGTGCTGCGGAAGCGTCCCACTGTGCAAGGATCTTCCCTTAACATTGAAGTGTACTGTATGAATGGAAGCATAGCTGGATGACGGGGAAACAAAAGTTAATTGAAAATGAAATGACAAAGGGGTGGGTTTTCATTCCCATCTTTTAGAATACGTTTAAGGCACTGCTGAATAATTCTAACGCACTTTAGTAGCTCAGGAATGCTCCATATACATGTAATAGTAGATTATAAACTCACAGATGCCCCATCGCTTCTGGATTGTGTACATTAGTCAATAGAGAGAGTAGGCTGTATAAGTGGCAAGTGGATGGAAAAGCAATTTTAAAAATTACTGTTGAATTTGGAGCATAACCCCATCCGAATGATTGTGGAAAATGTGTTCCTTCTCTTTGGAAGATAAAGAAGACATCTTGGTGTCGGTAGGGTTACGAGCTTCAAGTTGGGGCCAGGAGTTCTCTTTGAATTACAACTGATCTCCAGACTACTGAGATCAGTTTCCTTGGTAGGAGTGGCAGCTTCGGAGGAGGGACCGTATGGCATCACATCCTGTCTGAGCTCTCTTCCCAGGCAGCAGCACCAGACCTCCAGGAATTTCCCAAGCCATCGTTGGCCATCTTAGACACTGGAGGTCCATCCTATTGGACTATGAAGGTAGAGCTAAGGTTTTGTGCAGTGTTTGTCTACTCCACAAGGAGAAGCTGCAACAAACTAGAGAGAGTTTGAGTGTCACTGTTTTTATATATCCCTTTGCAACACTGTTGATTGCTGTTAACCCAGACACGTGGTGTTCTCAGATGTGTGGAGTAAATGCCAGAATCACCAATTGTATGACCCACAGAGAATGACCCACAGATTTAGACAATGGATGTCATGTTGTTTGTTCCATTCTGTACCATAGCCCCTGAAAAGACTTCCCAGGCAAATGCAAAAGAAACTCTGCCTCTCGGAAGAAAGACTGGGTGGCCTCCTTGGTCCAGTGAGTAGGACACCACCTCCCCCAATTGTGTCTTTGATAGAAGAAAAGAAAAAGAAGGAAAAAAAACAGAAATAGCTCCACAATTGCACAGCCTCAAAGAAACCCAGCGCTATTCCTAGTGAGGATGCGATCCAGGATAGGCTCCTCCAACCCCTCTACCACAGTAGGCAAGACTGCAAGAAGTTTAGAAGAGCCTGTATGGTCTGAGGAGCAAAACCACTCAGAGCAGGATTTCCTCCTCTGAAGGAGAACTGGAAATTCCCTCCTTTCAATGCACCCTTCTGCACCTGTGTTCCTATGAACAGAAGTGTACATAGAGCAAAGTAGGACAAATCTTTCTTCAGGGAAATTCAAAGAGGGTAACATCAGCCTATGGAACAGGGTTAGGTGTAGGCTCAACATCAAAAATTTCAGGCTTTAAATGTTTGTGTAGTTCCATCAAAATACTCACTGCTTTAAAAACAGCAGCTGAGAATTTAGCAAGTTTGCCACCCACAGACTCTTTCCACACTATCATTCTACTGAAAGATAAGTGTGCCTTTGTGTTCATCAGTTGTTCCAGAAGATTCAGACCTCTCACAATTAGCATTTCAGTTGTGGGGAAATTAAATTTTCTCACTGTTTTGTCACTGGGGCCATGCAATTGCTCCAGATAATGCCTGTTGTAGTTTATAGAGATTTGTGTACTGAAACTGGATGAGCATCACAAGTACCTACTTAGTGCCCATGACAACAGTAGTTATCATACCTGTGCCATTTTAGAACATATGCCTAATGGTATACCTAGGGGACTCATGGTTTATCTCCTAGATATTTTAAAATAGTTTTAGACAATGAATGCCTCTGCTCCACTAATGGTGCACTGTAGCCTCTAAATGTAGAGGGGGAAAATCCTGACTAACTTGCAAAGTTATTGGGTTGGAACCAATGGTCCCTCTAAGCTGTGGAGTCCCATGAGCAAAAATTGTACTTTCTGAGCTACTGGCATTAAAGTTGTGAGAAGGTTGTTCAGCTACTGCACAAATTAGTTTGCTCTGGAGCCGTCCTTCCTGAGCTAGGACAACAGAGACTAAAAAACTGTGAGCTAGCTCACTCTAACTGGGCTTAGAGGGAACACTGGTTGGAACCAGTATAAAATACCACTAATGCAGAAATGCAAGGAAAAGGCCATGGTAGCCACTTGCACTAAGTCAAAGCTACTCTTCCTTTGCTTGAATTGCCCCTTGCACAAAAAGTTAAGAAACCAGTTTCTGGCCTCTATAATATCTAGGGAGGAAAGTGCTCAATGTTGCACAAAATCTTGCGCAAGTGAAACTGCACTAAGGCTGTTTGCTTCTGCTTGTGCGTCACTGGATCCAACCCATTGTATCCCACAGAGAGGAAAGTGCTCAATGTTGCACAAAATCGTGCGCAAGTGAAACTACACTAAGGCTGTTTGCTTCTGCTTGGGCATCACTGGATCCAACCCATTGTATCCCACATATATGTAACATTTTTCCAAACCAGGTTTTCCCCCTTTTATAAGGAAAAGAGAGGTCAAAGGTAGTAACTTTTAAGTGCTACTGATTTCCTGGGTAGAGAAAAGCATACACTTAAAACACTTCCCTGAAAATCAGATTGGACATCTGACCTGAAGCTGGTTTATTCCCTAATCTAAAGTCCTGTTGAGAAGTGTTTAACTTTGGCTGGATCATGCCCCAAAAGCCAGAGCTTGAGAGCTCTAGAAAGACCATACGTATGAACAGGACACAAATTCAAGTGCAGAGCATTCTTTGATATTTTAAAGGGGCAACATCACCTCTAAAGGTTTACTTATACGATGTTTAACATGATCTATGTTTCAGGGCAGGAGGTTCTCTAAACACAACTATGTTCATTATTAGCATGTTAAACAGGCTTTTGTAAAAGAAGCGCGCGCACGCACGCATGCGCACACAGTCCAAATGTTCGAGGCCCATGTGAAAGAGGTACATTGTGCTACTGTTCAGAAAGTGGCTGGTAGTTTACCATCTCTGTTTAAAGTTTGAAAACATAGCATGCCTGCAGTTGTGCTTGAAGTATGAGGTTTACAGGCCAGTCCTCAGATCTGAAACATTTTGTGCCAGCGTATAAGACTTCAATGCCATTGTAAGTGTTTTCTGATGTCTGTATTGCATTATCATTATTTGCTATTAACTGCTAGCGATGCAAGTCTTAAGCTGGGGGCATTAGGGCAGAGAAGAGTACAGGTTTTTGGTGCTCAGATGCCTGTCAGCTGGACGCGTGGGGGGGGGGAGTACTTTGGTGCAGCAATGAACTCTTTTACGCCATACTCTCTGCTAGAGCTGTTTTCCGGCCACACAATCCTGTATCTCTTTACCTGCCCAAAATAACCAAGTCAGGACCCATAAATTTAATACATGAGCAGGTGATAGCAAATCCAAAGTGTTCATTTTAAGATATAGCATGCTTCTACGAATGCTGTGTTCCCAGTTTAAAATTATTATTTCCTTTTGTAGAAGTGTCCTGTATCTATCCGTTGTTATTTTAGGCGGTTTTTAAAAATAAAGATGTTGGTTGTATTTTAAATGCCTCATACAAAATCATTTACACAGTCAAAACAGGGAAGTGTTTCTGTGGATTTAGCTTTGCAGGGCAAGAGGTTTTACTTTATGCAATGAAATACTATTACCATAATCAAAACCTTCTCATTTTCTGTAATGAATTTCTCTATTATTTATAGTGGATTAAGGAATAATGCTCCTTTTGTGTTCACTAGAGGGCACTCTTGCAACATATCACATGCACTGGCAATAATGTACGTGTGTCCACAATAGTCATTTATTAGATTTGTTTTAAAAATCCCCCCTTTTCCCCAGAAAAGCCAGGGTGGCATACATAGTTACCCCTCCAGACTTCATTCTCAGAACAACCCTATTAAAAGTGTGAGCGCCTTCAAAACTGGGTTGCTTGACTGTCCACTGGTCCCATTTTCAACACGCTCAGACCTTGAATTGCACATGCATCACTTGAACTGTCCTCGCTCATTGATTCAGGGATGACTGTGACTGCCTCTTTAGAAAAGCATCATGGCTTGGCTGATACTGGGGACCATCACAGGTTAAGCTGGACTGTCTTTGCTTGATGACTGGAAAAAAAAGTGTCTGAAATCAACCTCCTCCCCGCCCCAAAATTGACAGAGGAGGGTCGGCTGCACTTTAAGCAATCAGCTAGCTTTATTTAGTTAAATGTTTATATCCTGCCTTTCCTTGTTGCTTAAGGCTCTTCTTCTCCCTTAGAAAAGCTTGGGACGCTACAAGGAAACTGAGGATGCAATTCAGAGCCTGGGTTCAAAACCACTAACAAAACAAGAAAGGGACCCCTCCCACACACAAATATTTGTGAGGAGGGGAAATCCTGTTTACATTACTTCCTTTTCCACACCACGTTTCTCCTCTCATGGTCTGCCACCATCTTCGCTCCCCATTCTCAGCTCTTCCTCTTCCCTTCCCTGGCAGCCCAGCCGCCTCCCTTCCCTCTGCTCCTGCCTCCTCCCCTTTCTTTGCCCTCCCCTTCCCTCGCCTCTTTCTCACACAGTGGTCAAAATCGATGGGGGTTGCTTCACTTTTAAGTTATCTGTGCGATCTCCCCCCCCCTTTAAAAAAAGTTTGGGATTTTCCTGCAAGCATGGGGTTTCACCCAGATCTGTAGACCTCCCTTCTTGTATCAGCTCCCATGTACAAGTTCTTTGATCCACACTCTAGGATCAGAACTGCATATATAAGATACAAAATTCAGGCTTAGTTAGGTGGCAAAAGTGATCAGACGTTTACCATCTGTTCCAAGAAAAAAATTAATTGTAGCTGTTAAATCATTCCTTGGACCACCATTAAAGCTAGCCTGGTAGATAAGTCTGCAATATGCCTTACTCATGGAAAATCAGTGGAAGCTGTGGGCCTGGTGTGTCAATTTCCTAAGGAATTCTTACCTTTCATGGGAATTCCCACATGATAAAACCATTCTCATCCATTGTACATTAAATGGTTGATTAAATCAGGGCTGGGATACAGTTGAATCTTGAGCAACAGAAAATGATGTGCACATGATTCCTTCTGGCTATAAAAACCCCAGCCAAGATGCAAATGTTAATGTCCACTGGTGGGTGCAGAAAAATATCCAGTTTATACTGAGAGTAAATGCAACATATGCTGAAAAATGAAATATTCTAAATAAAGGCTGTAGACATAGAAGGACTGTTGAAACCTGAGCCACTTCCAAATGGGCCAAGCCACCTCAAATATATGTATTTAATATCCTGGTCCAGAAGCATGCCATGCTTGATGACAGTGAATGTCATTGAGAGGGCCAGCAGAACAAGGGGTGCGCTTCCCATCCCATTTTCTACCAGAGTTAGGGCAACCAAGGTGGTTTCAGTTCCAAAACCCACACTCAGCTCTGTTGTCTAGGACAGCGCACGTGCACACACACACACACAGCTACCTTATACTGAATTAAACCTGAATTATACTGAATTAAACCTTTGGTTCATCAAGGTCAGTACTGTCTACTCAGACCAGCAGCAGTTCTCCAGGATGTCAGACAGAGGTCTTTCACATAACTTTTAAAATGAGATGCCAGGGATTGAGCCTAGGACCTTCTGCGTGCCAAACAATTGCACTACTACTGAGCCAATGCTCCAGATGTGAGTGATTTGCAAAATCCTTAACACATTTGCCAGTAAGCTTCCAAACATCCAGGGTAATGTCATGAGGGGACACATTAAAAAAATACACCGTCACTATCTGGAAGAGCTCAGCTGGATGGCTAGCTGTAGAGATTTTGGAACCCTCAGTGTCATGGTCATTCTAACTTGGGTTTGGTTGGATTCATTGTGAGTTTGCCTCCACTGCATTCCAGATGTCATTCCAGATGCCATCTGACCTACTTCCAGTGTTCCTCCTAAGCTGAGTTAGTGTGAGCTAGCTCACAGTTTTTCAGCCTCCAGATCACACATTGTTGTCTTAGCTCAGAAAGGATGGCTCCAGAGCAAACTAATCTATGCAGTAGCCAAATCACTTGCTCACAACTTTAATGCCAGTAGCTCACAAAGTTGAATTTTTGCTCACAAGACCACAGCTTAGAGGGAGCATTGCCTGCTTTTCACCCCCAACTCCTCAATATACTAAGGAGCCAAATGGGTTCTATGGAAGAGGATGCCTGGAAGCAATTGTGTCAATGGCCAGACACATTTCTTCATTCTATAGCTTGACTTGGGCTTTCATAGGAACATGAACAATAGCTGCCAGAAACTCCCTGAGAGTAGCCCAGAATCAGCCTATCAGGATCATCCTAACAGGCCTTCCACCCCTGCTGAGGTTAAGACTTTCCATTACCACCGCATTGGCATTATATGGCTTAATGCATGGGCCTCCAAGTTATCCTGAATCAGGCCCCTTTTAGTCTCAAACTTTTAGGTATCTGATTTTTGATCATTTAAAAGAAAGCCAGTAGTCACGAAAGTGTTTAAGGCACTCATTTAAATTATACTACAACAGATTTCTGAACAAAAGCAATACCTGGTCCTATGTAGGCAGTCTGATCTTGTTCTTTTACTTTATATACTGTGATCCAAACAGCTGTTCTTACTGTTTAAGATGCCCCTAGACTCCTGTTTGGTTCTTACTGGCTAACAAAGACTAATAACATTTAACAAAAGCATTTTAAGGGACACTAGATTCCTGTTTAATTTTGCACTGGCAGACTACCTCTCTGGGATTAGCCCATCAGAACTCCCAACTTCCTCAACTTTCATTCTCGGCTGTGAATGCAATAAAATTCCGGCCCAGTGAGGAATTTATCTTCTGTTAAAAGCCATTATTACTTGTACCTCTTTCATGAAAGATTTTTGAGAACCACAAATATTTTAAAAAGCTGTTTCTAACAAAACAAAATCCATTTTGAGAGCATTAGCTTTGTTTACCATCCATATC